GATAGATAGATAGATAGATAGATAGATAGATAGATAGATAGATAGATAGATAGATAGATAGATAGATAGATAGATAGATAGATAGATAGATAGATAGATAGATAGATAGATAGATAGATAGATAGATAGATAGATAGATAGATAGATAGATAGATAGATAGATAGATAGATAGATAGATAGATAGATAGATAGATAGATAGATAGATAGATAGACAGACAGACAGACAGACAGACAGACAGACAGACAGACAGACAGACAGACAGACAGACAGACAGACAGACAGACAGACAGACAGACAGACAGACAGACAGACAGACAGACAGACAGACAGACAGACAGACAGACAGACAGACAGACAGACAGACAGACAGACAGACAGATAGATAGATAGATAGATAGATAGATAGATAGATAGATAGATAGATAGATAGATAGATAGATAGATAGATAGATAGATAGATAGATAGATAGATAGATAGATAGATAGATAGATAGATAGATAGATAGATAGATAGATAGATAGATAGATAGATAGATAGATAGATAGATAGATAGATAGATAGATCCACATATTGAGAGAGAAACATAACAAGACACACAAATGCGTACATACACACATACTGGGCGATAGAAAGAAAAATAATTAAAAAACAGAGAGAATAAGAGAAAGTGTGTATGAGAAGTTCTATATATATATATATATATATATATATATACACACACACGCACACACACACACAAATGCACGCCCACACACACAGGTTCACATATATACACACACACGCACACACACACACATACACACACACACATACAGGCAGAAAGAACGATAATGAGAAAAGGTTCACTAAGTTCCTCACTAACAAATTTATGAACTGATTTCTTTGAACTCAATCACTAAAGAGTTTCCGGACCTCGTTTGTACTTTCCGCCCCTCACGGTCCTTATACCTTGTTTACATGTCCCCAAGTGCCCTAATGGACGATCAACCTTTCGTGCAGAAGTATCTTATCGAACTGGGCGGAGCCGGGTTGATAGACATAGTATCCCATATTGCCCTTTTCCTAGTGACGTCAGTTATGCAACTGCTCGTGTTGAACCCTGGTTTTAATATCTTGTGAGGTTTCATGGTTGCCTGATGCAGTTATGTAGGTTAAATGGGGCGGAATGAGAGGCTGAGGGTTCTAGTGACATTCTGGAAGAACACAGCTGAGAGTTCAAACTTGTTTACTTGTAAGAAATTTATATAATTATTTCCTGTAACGAAGCTATTGCAGTTGTCAGCTTCTTCAGTACCATTCATTGTCATCATCATCATGTGCCCTGCCAACTGGTGTAGGTGCTCATACGTTCCACAGATCACGAACCCTGGTTGCCTGGAACAGCTCTCTTGATGATATTCCTCCATGCATTCGTTTTAGCCCATCCACCATCATCTCTCTTGGCCTGCCTCTACCCACTTTTCCAATGATCTTTCCAGTTGTCACGATGTTCTCCAATGTCTCCCTTCTTATTATGTCGACACTGGGCTTCAACCTGGTACCGGTGAGACGACAAAACCACGACACTGGGCTATAACCTTCTCCCGGTAAGACGACAAAACCACGACACTGGGCTACAACTGTCGTATGGCAGTTTTGTCGCGCACCTTACTTACAGGATATTTTCACAAATCCCTCAGGTGCTCTGAGACAGGAGTGTTTTGAATGGTGGCTCTCGTTCGTCTAGAGGCCTAACCCTCGGTTCAAACTTTCCATTCAACCTGTCTCAGGGATGAGGTGACACGAGCTCTGACTCCACAGGGTTATTATGAACACTTGGGTACCTCTCGGCCAGACGTCCTCACCACTGTTTGCCCCCAGACTGGATTAATGTAAATCCAGTCGAACAAATAATCAACAGTGAATACGATAAGACAAGACTACGTTTATAAATGCCACAAGGAACTCCATTTAGACAAAACTCTCATAAGAACTAGAAGGCAGATGAACTCGAGAATCAATGTAATAGGTTCCCTGTAACCAAGCTGAAGAAAAATAACTTGAAGAATTAACTGAAAGAATATTGAATACTTTCAAGAACAAAGTTAGTGCGAGTGTCTTCCTCCTACTCTACGTTTCTGTCCAGTATCATCATGTCTGAGGAATCGGATGGATTGGAAAGGTCCCTTTAGAATTAATCCGTCATACGGGTCACTCTGACTTATCTGTTTGGATCTTATATCTCCTCTGGATGCTGGAGCGAAGTTTCCGACCACCGTACTTTACGATAGGACTTCTCAGAAACGAGGCTGCTTCTCTGGATGCCGGAATAGATCTTCACGTCGCCAGACTTCCCAACATTATTTCACCAGCAGGAACAGTTTCTGGCGTTGATCGAGAACAATCACCTTGAGCTCGGAAAACGACGACTCAAGTATCGTCCACACGTTCAGGACCACAATTCACCACATGTAAATTGCTTAATGTGTAGTGGCAGAAGGAACCAGTCTACAAGACACTGACACTTGTTGGATCTTCATAACCCATTGTAAATAAAAAAGAGAACAAGGAATCTTGTCTGTATAACGGTCAATTGGCGAGACACAAGGAAAAAACGCCTGCCTCCAAGACCGGACTGTAGAGAGTGACGCACACAAACACGTCCCCTAACAACAGCAGTTAGCGTACGAATTGCGCTCACTAATGCAGTGCAGTGGTCAGACAATTTATTTAGAATAGGCGTAGAAAATGTGTCCTAACATTCAATTCGACACTCAAAGCCTAAAAGAGTCATTATCAAAGGGTTTTATATGGATTTTTCCTATCAGGACTCCCCCACAACAAACGAACTATCTAACTATGCTTGGCCTATTCTATTACATAGTGACGATGACGAGTTTAGGGTGGTCAGCTATATGGACCTTCCTGCTGTGGCAGATGTGTGGATGCTGTCATGCGACAACAACCTGGTACCGGTGAGACGACAAAACCACGACAATAGGCTAGAATCTGGTACCGGTGAGACGACAAAACCACGACACTAGGCTAAAACCTGGTACCGGTGAGACGACAAAACCACGACAATAGGCTAGAATCTGGTACCGGTGAGACGACAAAACCACGACACTAGGCTAAAACCTGGTACCGGTGAGACGACAAAAGCACGACACTGGGCTACAACCTAGTACCAGTGAGAGGACAAAACCACGACACTAGGCTAAAATCTGGTACCGGTGAGACGACAAAACCACGACACTAGGCTAAAACCTGGTACCGGTGAGACGACAAAACCACGACACTGGGCTATAACCTTCTCCCGGTAAGACGACAAAACCACGACACTGGGCTACAACCTGGTACCGGTGAGACGACAAAACCACGACAATAGGCTAGAATCTGGTACCGGTGAGGCGACAAAACCACGACACTAGGCTAAAACCTGGTACCGGTGAGACGACAAAACCACGACACTGGGCTACAACCTGGTGCCGGTGAGACGACAAAACCACGACACTGGGCTACAACCTGGTACCGGTGAGACGACAAAACCACGACAATAGGCTAGAATCTGGTACCGGTGAGACGACAAAACCACGACACTAGGCTAAAACCTGGTACCGGTGAGACGACAAAACCACGACACTGGGCTACAACCTGGTGCCGGTGAGACGACAAAACCACGACACTGGGCTACAACCTGGTACCGGTGAGACGACAAAACCACGACACTGGGCTACAACCTGGTACCAGTGAGACGACAAAACCACGACACTGGGCTACAACCTGGTACCAGTGAGACGACAAAACCACGACACTGGGCTACAACCTGGTACCAGTGACACGACAAAGAAAGACGAAAGAAGTGTAAAAAAAAAAAAAAGGAACATTTGGATCATTTATTGTTCTTCTTCATTATTCTTTACGTTCTACCTTTTAAGACGTAGTGCTTGTTACACTAAATTTAACTGCATATATCATATTAAAAACAAATGCCAGTTAACTAATATTGGTGGAATAGAGGGACAGCTTGGAAACAGTGTAGCAGAACACATTACCAAATGGCATCAAACTCAACTGAGTGCATCAAGACCATCCAAGAAGAAGAGACCATATTCTTGACTGGACGTCAGGTTTTTCACTCCCGTAACGCAGAGGAAATGGATTGTGTCTTACAAGTTAAATACAGCACCCGGAAGTAGAGTTTACCGAAACTGGCAGAAGCTGCGACAATTAAAATGAACAATCCTACGCTGTGCAGACAAGAAGACCATGAGGTAACTTTGAAAATTTCCTGATAAGCACGTGGATAATCTAGGACGTCTGAAAGTGAGGTATACGTTGTACTAGAGCCATTGTGGTGTGTGTATTTCAACAGGAAAGGATTTTTTTTTTACTGCTCAATTATAAGTTGATGTGACTAAGCAGGCACCTATGACATAAGTGAAATATGCACGGAGATGAATTGTTTCGTAACTATTTAAATTTATAACAGGAAATCATCGATTTCAATAACCGGGGGTTTGTTAGAAGTTACCACCCAGAGAAAAATACATTACGGGAGTTCGTTGAAATATTTCGTTTAGGTAAAACCACTAATAAAGGTTCGCTATCAAACAAAAATCTGTCGTAGAGAATAGTTTTAGAATTTGGCTAAAAATACCACCATATTTAACAGCACCACAGGGCATGCGTTTAGTATTAAAAAGTGCAAATTAGAATGATATATTTAATAACATAATCATATCCGCACTAAAAACAAAAACATGCATACACTAACTGGATAGTTAGAAGCAATTAAAAAGAAAACAGTTTATGATAATCATAACAAGGTTAGGATCAGTATCCGGTTCCAGAAAAAAAAGAAAAAAAAGAAAACATAAACCAGATTACTGCTATAAAAATATGAACGAAATAATAGCATTAATTGCATGCAAGTTATTGCAAGATGCTTGTTATATATATAACATTTCTTTATGCATTGTTCAAACGTTTTAAATTGTCTGCATTGAGCACTTACTACGGAAGGGCATCAGTTCTTGCAGGGCGCCCCCGTGAGCTGAGAATACACGATGTTATCAGAACAATAACAACAACATCAAATATCAAGGTTGATATTAATCAAAAATTGCAATCAAATTCACACAATATGCTGAAAGAAACACGTAAAAATTAGGGTGTGTAGAACAACAAGCAGAGGTGTGGATACCAAAATGTTAAGTGAACACAAAATTTGCCGTTAAAACTGGAGATAAGATGTGACATGTTATCAAGAGAATGCATTTATAACAACAAATATTCACACGTAGACTAAATATATAGTTTGGGAACCCCTAATGTAGATTAAATACATAATTTGGGAACCCCTGATGTAGAGTACATACATAGTTTGGGAACCCCTGATGTAGATTAAATACATAGTTTGGAAACCCCCTGATGTAGATTAAATACATTGTTTGGGAACCCCTGATGTAGAATAAATACATAGATTGGGAACCCCTGATGTAGATTAAATACATAGTTTAGGAACCCCTGATGTAGAGTAAATACATAGTTTGGGAACCCCTGGTGTAGATTAAATACATAGTTTGGGAACCCCTGATGTAGATTAAATACATAGTTTGGGAACCCCTGGTGTAGATTAAATACATCGTTTGGGAACCCCTGATGTAGATTAAATACATAGTTTTGGAACCTCTGATGTAGATTAAATACATAGTGTCACCCCTCCTCCCCCTATCTCCCCACACACCTAAACTGTTAAAAGACGGGGGGACAAATAGGATCGTGACAGTTGTTTTTTTGCCATTTTGTCACCTCCTTAGTGACGACGCCTGTGGCGGGCCCACGCATCCATCCGCTTCCTACGCCACTGACAAGAAGGACACCGATGAAAAAAAAAAACGTTTATTATTTTTAAAGAAGTTAAATTTATAGAGGTGGCAGCTATTTAAGCCTGCTCCGACCATATATAAATAATCATTAAAAAAAAAAAAAAAACTAAGAACCGATATTTGGGATTATTGTGGGAAGCGTAAATCCTATATGACAAGTCGTTTTGGATTGAAAGTGTTGAGATAGCTACACTAAATAGCCCGGCTCTCTAGCGTAGTTGGCTAAACCCGATTGCGCAGTGACCGGGTGACGAACTCCTTGTGGTCCGGGTTCACTCCCAGGGGTAGGCAGAAAAGCCATATTTCTCCCAGATTTAAGGTATTTACAATGGAATCAAGCTCTAAAGGTTGCGATATCCATAATACCGAGCCTAAGGGTTAACAACTCATGGCTTCTGGATACTAAACCAAACAAACAAACAAACAAACAGCTGCACTGAATACGAGAGAAATCTATTTAGTAAATGTGGCTACTGAAAAAATTAGTGTAAGCACAAATGAACTTATTATGTGTCATACAATTCAGACACAACAACAACAACAAAATAAATTAAATTGTTAACTACTGTTTATGTTCACAGTGAAGACAACACTGTAGGAACAGTGTAAATAATGCTACCCGAATCACCAAATCGAAAAAACAAACAAACACAGAAACAGATAAACGAATAAATAAACGAAGGTTAGTTGCGTATCCTTTACAGGACGTTGCAGAACCAACCCCATCAGCCTCTGTCTGTTCTTTGGTTTCACTAGGCAAATTACGTCCAGTAGTTTGCCATTGCTACTGGACGGTCGGCTCCCTGATACCACTGTCGAAACCAACGCAAGGAGTATGGCCAGCAGCTGGGATCGAACCCGGTACCCCGGCTTTAGGAAGCGTTCGCATCGACTTAGCCACAGAGCCGACAAAGAAACGAAGGACGAATCAAACAACGGCCAATGCTCAACAGCGTAAAACAGTTCAACAACAAAACACAAATATTATGTCGTCGCATGGTTACATTCGCTTCCTAATGCCGGGATGCCGGGTTCGATCCCAGCTGCGGGCCATGCGCCTTGCGTTGGTTTCGACAGTGGTATCAAGATAGCCGACAGTCCAGAAAGCATTGGCAAACTACTAGACGTAAATGTGCCTAGAAAAACCACACAACAGCCAGGGGCTGTTGGGGTTGGTTCTGCAACGTCCTGTAAAGGATAAGCAACTAACCAATGGTTACATTAGGTGAGCACAGACAGTGGACTACTGAAAACGACTTGTGAAGTGATCTGGGTTGGACTAACTGCGTGACCAGTGTTGTAAGAGGGTTGTGTTTGTGATGTGGCCTGGGTTAAACTAGTGATAAGGCGTGGGTTAATCCAGTGACGTGGTGTGGGTGAGACCATTGATGTAGGCATGGGTTGCACCAGTTTCATTCCTTCCTACTAAGTGTGGCTCCTATCTGTGTTTGCGAGAATTACCCTGTGATAACATACATTTTCCCCTAACTGATACATAAACAAGAAAACACATATAGTGCTCTGGTGCCGTTTACAAACAATGAATGGTGCTCAACTCTGTTAAAATATTTCTAGAACCATTCAGTGAAGAAACTACAGCGAGAACTTTTACAAAGTGAACAAAACACAATATTGACATTGGTGGATTGAATAAAACACCTTTAACTTGTGAGACATAGGGTACTGAAGGAAATTCATCCAAAGATATTATAGTGCAGACTTGATAAGGAGAACTCAACGGCGACCCAAAAATAATGGTTCCTTTTATCAGAAATGTCTTATATCCAGATAGGAATTCAAGCAAGGAACATTTCCAAGGGATAAACACATTGTTCTTCACAACATAAATTCGCCACATCCGAGGTCGCCATAGGCGGTCTGGACTGCATTATAAAAATTGCTCTGCTAGATTAAATATGTGAGACGAGTGAATTAGGTTTTGACTGAATACAAAGTGAGTCCATCAATGGCTTGGTGTGTAACACAGTTGTGTATCCTTTACAGGACGTTGCAGAACCAACCCCAGCATTTTGTGACTGTTTGTATTTTTTTGCCATTTCTATGGTCTGCTCTGGGTGAACTGTTTAAGTGCCCTTTGGCACGCAGCTGGGATATCCGACAATTTTTTTGCCATTGCCTCAATAAACACAGACGAATTCATGGCGCATTACGGATGCAAATGTCGGAGGGGTGGAAATTAACTGCTTGCAGATAAACAGAGGAAGGGGAAAAGCTTCCAGTTGAAATTAAGGGTAAAAAAAAAAATTTAGAGAAATATGCAAACTATTGATCAGCTTCACAGAATCGATTACCACAAAGAAACAAAGTACGTTGTGCCGATTATCTTTTATCAGCAGAACGTTAAGACACAGAACACAACATAACATTTAATAGTTATCAGGGATACAACGAGTGTATGATCCAAACACCAATGTGGTGAATTACAAAAGACAACTGTGGAAATGCAATATAAATGCAGCAGATATTTGTGAATACAGAACAAACATGGCGTTTTGCTGATATTCTTCGGTTAACGAACAGCGTCAGTTGTATTCATGTCTGCGCGTCATGAACACTTTGTCGCTGCATGATTTTTGAAAATAAATTTCGATTTGGGGGCGGGGGGAACTTTTCGCATTCAATTAACCATCATTATCGTCCCAAGAAAGTTGGAAGTGGGAACAAGTAAGGAACTCAGGCCCAGCTACACACACATGAGTGACAAATTTGGGCCAGGACACTGTGATTGGACGTTCATTCATGCGTGATAACCTTTGAGACCCGTAAGTGTAAGTGACAGGAATGTCAGGTTTGCGCGACGTTGTTTTATCTCGACGATCTTACCAGCGACCACAGCTGCTCTATATGTGAGCGGTTTTAATGACCCCATAACATGTACAACCGGCCCTAACCCCACCCCCCCCCCCCCCATCACCCCACACAATAAACCTAGGTTCCACGAGAGAGTGCATTCTACACCCCTCTAACGTAGACGAGCCCGACCAATCATCAATGACAAGTCAGCTAGTGTGTAGCTGGGCCTGAGTTCATTACTTGTTCTGAGAAGTGTTTTTAACAGTCGTGTAAAGAGGCTTTAGAGTATTATTGTAGAGACCGGGCATTAAGAAAAACGAAAAAGGGAAATAATAAGTAAACAAGAGAATGGTGTTGGAGTTTCTGATCTCACCAAGCAGTACAAGATGGTCAAGTCAACGATCTGCACCATCTTAAAGGACAAAGTTGCTCTAAAAACGACTGGTGTGGCCAAAGGTGATAACGAGGCAAAGGCCACGAGTATACGAAGAAGTAGACAATGATTGTTAGTTTCGGCTCGCGAACATTTCGGTTCGCTAACGGAGTAAAAGAACGAACAAAGTTTGCGACCCGAGGTAGCACTCTGTAAAATGTAACAAATAAGATTCCACTAGGATCGTGTTGACCAATGGTTCTCAACCTGCCAGTCACAACCCTTTTTGGTGTCAAATGATCCTTTAATAAGGGTCGCCTAAGACCATCAAAAAACACATATTCATTGAGGTTATGAAGGAAAATATGTGTTCGGGGGTCGCCACAACACGAGGGAACTGTATTAAAGGGTCGCCACAACATGAGGGAACTGTATTAAAGGGTCGCCACAACATGAGGAACTGTATTAAAGGGTCGCCACAACAGGAGGGTACTGTCTCAAAGGGTCGCGGCAATGGGACGGTTGAAAGCCACTGGCGTTGACAGACACAAAATACAATCTTTACAACTCACAAGTGCGCTTATTTTTTTTTTTAAAAGTAATTATTCGTTTTCTATGTTACTCTGCTACATCTTAGTCTAACTCATCTATTACTGTAGATATCTGTTTAAATAAAAATACTTTACATATAACGAAATAGAGGGTTTTTAAAAACTAAAAACTAAAACCAAATCAAAACAAAGTAAAGTAAAAATGTTACTATAAATAGGCTCGAAACTGAACTGTTATTTGAAAAAAAAATCTCAACAACACACAAACATACACATACATCCCCCTGGCCACAAACACACACACACACACACACACACACACACACACACACACACACACACACACACACACACACACACACACACACACATACACATACATACTTACACACTCACAAAACTTGAAACAAAATAGAAATTAAAAAGT